CTTCCTTTTCCTTCTGTTCTCTGAACACCATAATCGTCATACTGACAAGGCCCAGTCGTGGTGATGAGCTAGGACGTATGTGACTTAATGGACCGAAACGTCTTAACTTAATCGTTTTTCCCTCTACTTTCTTCTTTTTATACACCTTCCTTACTTTGGCATCCGAGATCAACCTGGACGCTACAGTCGGCTTAATAGCATTTAGCTGACAATATTGGACGATATTTCATGTTGCATAACAGGACTCAGTTATTCCTTTCATGCTGTTCAAGGTGAAATAGTGAATGTTAATGATTAGCAGTTATATGAACCTGAACATTCTCCAATGAAATCCATTCAAGATTTTGGTCGTAAAAACCCTCGTAAGTAAGAAGTTGTTGCAGAAAGGCAATCAGCTCACAGGTACCCCATTTATCCGGTTTCACAACATTGAGCGATTTAACATAAAGCACCAGCTTTGATTTTTCCTTTGGCTTAAGCAATCGTCCAGATGTGCTGCTTACAAGTACACAGTGCTGCTGCAGCAAACCCAGAACTTGCTCGGACCTGAAATTCTGCGCTTGTAAAAGTCAACATGCATTCAAGCAAGAAATCTCAAATACGGGTTCATTGGCCAACGAAACTTACCTAGTGTGAGCGCTGCAGTGAAGAACGGCTATCTGACTTTCTGGATCTGATTCTAAGCAGTGCCGCAGCAGGCTCTCTTTTCCGCTTCCATCTGGACCATACACAATAAACGGCTGCCTATTCTGGTTGTCCAGCCACGAACTGATCTTTAAATTCATTTTACTGAACTCTTCCTAGGCCGTGTTTAGTGGGAATCCGCAGCACAACATCAAAATGCGTCTTAGAAGCGGCCAGCATGCTAAGAAAGTGATTTCGGCAAAAAACACTCGAGCAGCTAGTAAACGCGATGTGCTAGGCCGCCCAGAGTGAGACAGCGAACAGCAGCGCACGGTACTTGACTACATCCGCACGTGAACATATCACAGTGGGAATACGAACTTCATTCAGAAATTACAGCTCAATGAATTGGTTCAACGATCCCAAGGGCGGAAGTAATTGTTAGGGAACTAAACGAAATAAAAAAAAAAGCACCCACAATATCACGATTTGCTTGAGCAGTAGCGGTTAACACGAATGGGCGCTTTTCCGAACTTAGCATTTGCTCGTTACTGAGTTGCATGTCCACCTCGTCCGTATAAATTGTCAAAGAATCGGCTCGCTTATCATAGTATACGATTCCAGGATTCTCTTTAACCGGTAAATTTGCTTCTCTGAAGACGACCTAAATCAAAAAATAATTAACGACACATCTCGGAGTGGGACGATTACGCGTTTTTTCGATGGGATATTATGCAGCGGATAGAAGATTACTGGGTTGACCGCATTTTGCCAGTCTGATTTTTAACTTCTTTTCTGCATGGAATCTGGACATCACAGAAAAATCTGGACATCACAGGTTCAAAGGCTATGCTCGAGCCTCTTCATGACAAGGCGAAGTACAATCTTGGAACTCCAGTTTCGCAGCCCCATCAACTGCATTTGCTCGTGAATGAGCGATTCCGGATACTGCAAGGATTAACTAAGAAGAGTGAATCCGGCAAATTTTCGTTTGTTTTGTAATTAGCAGCGTCATCAAAAAGCAGTAAATTAAACGTGAACTGTTGTACCTCGAATGCAAATTCGTTGCGCAATTCGGGGCTCAGATTAGGGGCCAGCCCACGATATAAGGCCACCAAGAATTCGTCTCGAGATGTCACATTCCATAAAAGGCTCAAAGCATTTTGCACAATAGATGTGTTGCTCAAGCTGACCTCTAATATACCTTTTGCCCAAATCCAATCCAGACATCTGCAATAAAAAAGGCCTTAGAAAACGCAAGAAAATTTCCTGATCAAATTACTGTACAGGGTACTGTAATGGCTCAATCGATTCTTATTGCAACCGCTCACTAGCCAACTTTGTGGCTTTCAGCAGCAGTAAACAAGTTCGTATTATAAACAAAGTCCCTCGCAACTATTTTCGTCTGTAAGTATCATGGTACGAAGAGAACAAAGATGCAACTGGCAAGACAGAGAGTAAACTTTGCAATTTGAGGCATCTTGTTATCTCTTGCTAAGCGCATCTTGCAGAAAACTTCAAATCGCTTATACTCAATCCGAGGGTTTGTCACAAACAGAGCAACAGCTTCATCGTTGCTGTTGAACTGTGATGAAATTATGATATGGGATTCTTCAGTTATTGAAATTCATGCAGAAATTAACATATTTCGCTTACGCTTTCGTGGCTGTACTGTCTCAGTCTCAAGCTCTAACCTGTATAAATGATCCTGAATCCAAATAAGCATGTTCGGATTGGCACCAGTGTGTTCTTCAAGCCAGTGATTAATAATTTCCTGCACACTTAGATCCTGCTCGCTGCAAAAGCGTTATTTTGACAGAACAATTCACATTCTCAGAACAATTAAATTTTCACGTTCATGACAGAACAATTCACATCCTTGAATCCAGTTCACATTCTCAAAACAACTGCGTTTGATAAGCCGTCCAAAAAAAGAAACCAGTTCCCCGAAAAGAATTATGAAAATGTGCCTAGCACAGGGGCGATACCTGACAAGTATTATGCCCATGCGGGAAACTGTGGCTGGTGAAGCACAGCTGAGGCTGTCAGTTTCGAAAATGAAATTCACATTGGAGCCAAACTGAATCCTCTCACCAGATGGCATTGTCAGCTGAAATAGTCCAATAGAACTTCCGGCATTTAATATCAAGTTCAAGATATCGTTAAGACCAGAGTAATGCTATGAACTGACGCAGTCTCTGTTTCATCCCTTAGCCGTAAACACCACTCTAGGTGTTAGAAACACTGCTAATACACTTTACCAGAAGTAGAGCAGATTGGTATGTCTGCATTTGGCTTGTGAATACAATTCGGTAAAGTTTTCAGATTTCCAATTTATGTTGTCTCTACCAGTCCGAAGCCGGTGTCATTATCAACAAGAAAATCTAACCGCACTTATAAGCCTTGCTGATACCACAGCAGATGATTATGGACGAAACTAACTTAAGCTGAAATATCTACTGTTCCGAACAAGTTGAGCCAAAAACAAACAAGGAATAGTTATAGTATTCGTTTCCGGCATACCTACTTCGGATAGGTGTTATAGAATACGGTAGGAAGATCGCTGGTGAGTGAACTAAAAAGCCACGGAAGCGGCAAAAAAAACAAGATAAACCATTAATAATCCTCTTTAGAAAAAACAATGGGCTGACAATTAAGCGAACCAGGATTGGTCACGACTATTGGAAAGGTTGGTAGCCAGGTCTGAGCAAAAAATGAAATGAGACAGTTTTCGAAATTTTTTGGTCGTATTTTTAATGCCGCTGAAAAAAAACCAGAGCTTTACCAGGCGATTATCATCAAGTACTGAATTGAGTGCTTCGATCCATTCAGGATCAACATCTCCATCACAGATAATCCAAGCAAGTGCATTGCTGTCTTTCACAACTTCTCTAGCAGCCGCTGTTAACACACCGTCCGACCACTCTCTTGTATCCATATCCATCCAACCCAGAAGCTAAATTAATGCTTAACAGCTGTTTGCAATGAAAACGCAACCTGTGTGTTTGCATGCAATAAGTTGCATAAATACTTTAGGTGTAACAGTGATTTTTATAAGAGGAAAAAGTAACTTTCTGCTTTGGCATTGACTTGGGATTGATCACATACGTCGTCACAGGCCTGTTTGCAAGTGCCATAGCTTTATGCAGCACTTTCCATAGAGTTGATTTGCCTGTACCACTCGGACCCAGTAATATTACACCTATTCTTTGCTGTAACTGCTCGAACAGTTCGAATACTTTTTTCCTCTAAATGTAATTTTTAAAGAACTCACGAACCAACTGAATTGAAAAGCTTAAGCGAATCTTTAAATCCTGTCCTGTCTACGATGCCAGGTCTAGTCGATGAATCTAGGATAAAGAAAAATCCAAACTGAAAATTTTAAAACTTAGAAAAAGCTTAACCTGTGTGGTCATATCGAAATCAACTCGCAATCCATACTGTATTCTGGCTCGCACCTTGAACCCAAATTAGGCTTAATTTTGCTATGCAAACATTGGGCGTGAAATTCTGGGAGAATAGTTTGTCAAATAATTTAAAGTAGCTAGCACGAAATCAGGTTTTCAGCTTCACTTTATTCTGAAGTACTACTTCAGATACCGATTCGGGCTGGTTTTTAATTTCTGAACGGGACGAGCTAAAAAACGGGGTTCCGGAGGAGGGAGCGGTTTGACTGGCTAAACAAGGCTATTTTACGAGATGGTACATTCATAACAACTTGTTCTAGAAACATTTAACCGCTTCCACCTCTGATGGCGTCACCCTATTTGACTGTCAAAGGAGTCTTTTATAACAGATTTTTACCTGCGTGTCAGTAATCGCTAGTTTCATTTCGTTCGCAGCCTGTTTCAACGGTTCCAGCAATTCCTCAATCTGAAATTCCATTTTGTCTTGCTGGGTGGCCTTAACTGTGCGTTTGTTTAAAAAAAAAAGTTTTGACGCAGCAGTGTTAAACAGTGAAAGGATGAGAACTATTCCTGCATTGGCGAACTAATTATCTGACCATTCCTCGGGCTTCAGTTCGTGCTGGAGAGTTTTCAGAAAGTGTGGAAAATATTTCGGTTTAATTCGCACAATGTAGGAAAAAGCCGACCTGCACTGGGCCTTTTTCAGTGTCTGAAAAAATATCACCAATGAGAGTGGCGAATCGCTTTGAATCATCAAATGTTAACTTCGGCACCGTATTCAATGTAAGCGCCTGTAATATAAACATGTGGACAGATGATCCGAAGTGAACTTCGAATTGTCTCATTATTTTATCGTTTTCCCTAACAAGATACAGCAAAGCAGATAATTCGGCACCATCCAGTGAAGGCTCGATGTACCCTAACTGACATACTTTTTTAACTTATACAATTAAAAGTACCATCTTAGTGATAATTTTTTTTATTGGTGCATTAGCGATTACTCAGAAATTTACACTTTCGTGAAGTGCAGAAAATTTTCACACAAATTATTTAATTTGTATTCGCAAAGTAGGCGCTATTACGTTTTCCCTCCCAGCCGTTCTCCCCTGTGAAAATCGTAGCGTGGTCAATGGCTGGCGTACCGAAAGAGAATTTTTGTGCTAACTTTGTTCCTCATCGCTACAGCAAATTTCCTTTGTCAGTAGAAGTGATCACTACTCTACGATTTGCGAGCCACCCTTCCGAACGATTGACATGAATAAGACACTAAAGCAAAAGTAGCGAGGACTGAAGGTTTCAGATTCCGGATTTCCTAATTTCTCAACCAGAAACACACACACACATACGCGAGACAAAATTTAGTCATTAAAAAGTGCAGCATACATCGACAACCAGCTGAGTTTCACTTTTGTCTTTGTTGTTCTCCAGCATAGTGCCGCAGCTGCGCAGAACGGTTCTGAGTGCTCTCAAACCCCAGTCGTAATGTTGTTGAGAGCTCAGCATTTCCCTTAAAAAGTAAATGTGACTTCTGAAACACAGGCTCAAACGTTGAAACCAGAAATTAAACTTGAAATTCTAATGAAGCATGCCACTTTCATCATTTTGCCATTTGACTAGTTCGATGAATCCTGCCAATCGGAATTAAAACAAACTGCTTAGTGTGTTTCAAGAATTTGTTGCAAGCTGGGATAACAAAAAACAAACTTGCTTAAAGCGAAAATTGAGACAAGCTTTCGTGACAGATTTTTTGCGTCTCGAAAACCTTCGGCGCTGAGCAGCGTTTGCGCTGAAAAGAGATTTTCAGTGAATTATCATAGCTTTAGTATATTTCTTTATGCGTTTCCGCATATTTGATACAATGCAACAACGCATATTGTCAGTTGTCTGTCAATATATATGTTGTGTTTAAAGTGCATTTTGTTACCCATTTCACGCAGCAAACAGAATAAAAACCAGGAGACTAAGGTTTTTGGAACATGTTATCACTCCGTGTGCGACTCTCTCATTTAAAATCATTGTCCATATATGTCGAGGTTTCACATATGGGTAAGTGAAAGATCTGACGGGAGAATCGCCAATTCGAGGACCAGAAAAGCTGGGAAGCTGGAAATTTTAATAAGACATTCTTAGAACATGGCAGATTTAAAAATTTTAAATTCAGCTTTGAGGTACGCCCAAGTCTTTTGCTAAGTAAAATTAGAGTTGAAATTATGGATAACTTTAGCAGACTCCAAGCACTTCAGCCACACTGATTAGGAAAGCATGATTTTGTATTTACTCTGCAGTTATGAGCTTGCTTAAAATGAGCTTCACTTACGCATGCGCTTCACTTACAGATGCGTTCAAACTGCATGGATGTTGTCATCGTTCCCTCTCGGAAATCACAGGCAAGAAAGCTAAAATTTTACGAGAATGCTCGCGTACTTTCTGCAGTACTAAAAGCATAATATTAGCTTTCAAGTAGGTCTACGTTTTGCATACGGCAAGCTGCAAAAATACATTATCGGACTGGCAATACTGACGCACGTTACTGTTGGTTACTTGCTGCCAAACCTCTAAACTGGCAACCAACCTATGAGCTCGTTGTCCGGAACAGACATCACAATTGGTCGGAATAACTGCTTCAGGTTATCCGGCAACTTCTGTCGTCCACCGTACCCCTTCCCTGCTGGATTCAGTGTTATGAATATGGCTGAATTCAAGTCAACAGGTATCTGAAATTTGTGAAGCAGCTAATTCATGAAGCTACGACAGCAAAGCCTAAAATTTATCAGTCAACAGTACAACAGGTCCTGATCTGTAAAGTCAGGTCTAAATGCAGCCTAATATTTTGCAGTTCGGGATTCAAAAAAACAACAAAATGGAAATCGTGGGAAGCTTGATCGCTCAGCACACGGAAGCGTTAAAACAGTTCTCAGATTTCGCTGCATTCTAATATGACGCCCAAATCTAGGCTAATTTTGTAAGATGAGAGTCAAAAAAAAGTTTAACGGAGTTTCAGAAAACTAGTCCACCAATAAGTTACGTTGATTCTGCGAGTTCAGAGAGGGACGATCTAAAAACTCAAAATTTTACTTTTTAAGCTAAACACATAAATCGACTCAAATGATTTGTGTTCGGCATGTTTTTGGCATATGAGTACGCGTTCAAACACATAACTTTGAAATTTCGGTGCTTATTGTGCTCTAAATCAACTAAAAGATCATTGGCATTTACTCTTATTCTTCAGTAGACACTCGCCAAGGACACAGCAAAACGCTTCCCTAGTGTGCACCACCGTCAAAAAAGACGATTTTGTGTTTTTTGAGAAAAAAGGGGAATTACAGTCGCTCGCACACAATATTGGTTATGCTAGGACATTTTCAATCTGCATTTGTAGACAAATTTTCGAAAAAAAAAGACGCACTTCTCGGTTACCCAGTGAGCATTTTGCTGAACGTGACTTTATTGCATTCTGAATAATCTGGATTTGCATTGATACCGCCGACAGCACCGACTGAAATAACAAAAACTATATCAAACCGATGCAAAGCTGCACTCGTCAGTCACATGTTGGCGCAGAGTGTTTCTATTCAGCGCTTCACCACAGCGAGCTGCTAATTTCCATTGTTTTTCTTCCTCATTCTTGAATCCATTGGAGTGCCGTGCGATTTGCATGCTGTCCTCCAAAATTGCATGTTGTCCTCCAAAATTGTCCAAAAAGTCGTTCATATTGTTGCTGTTTTTCACCAAAATTGGAGACTTTTAAATTTTATCTGATTTGTGTTTACTTTTTTTCTGAATACGTGAAAGAAAACCCAATTACCCATATTATTTGAGTTTGAGATGCGAAAACAGCGTGCACACTCACTGCTGGAAAATCCGTATTTGTTGAATTATTATCAGTGACTTCACTTGTTTTCCAAAGCTGAGTCACCCGTCGACATTCCTGAGAGAATTTCGGAAAAGAAGCGAAAGGCTAGTTGGAATTCATGCCTCTCATTTCCTAGGCTAATTTGAGGGGTCGCATTTTGCAGTGCGTTGATTAAAAAATTTCGACTGCTTGAAACAAAAATCGAACCTCGTCGAGGCGATTGAATTCATCGAAACAACCCCAAGCGCCACACTGAACTAATCCAGTGAATATGCGATTCATTGAGTGAACGTCAATCCCTTCATCGCAGTTGAAAACCAGCACTTGCCGACCAAACAAATTGGCCAAAGCCTGCAAGTCAATTAGCATAAATTTGAAAAAAAAAAAAAAAAAACACTGAAGGTACATCACTTAGCAATGCACCTTTACTGCTTTCGTTTATTACTCAACAAATTTGAGCAAATAATCTCACCGTGGCGTGGAAGTGGCAACGGAGTAAGCAGCATCGAAGCACGATGGGGCAGAAACCCTGACAGCTCTAAGCATCCGAAAAGACTCTGTGCCTCATTTTGCTTGTTTTAAGTTTGGACGGCAGGAACCTCTATCTGCTTCACTAATGATTGTACGGTCAAAAACCGTTGCTAATTCCGCATCACGATCCGGTACCAGCTGGTCAAACTAAATAACTTGTACGTTGCTAATACCGCTGCCAGTATACCGCTGCTAGTATTAGCTGGTCATACTAAAAAACTTTCGAAATTTTTTTACCTTCACTGATTCGGTTTTTCCAGTCCCTGCAGGACCGTATGGATTGCCTCCAAGACCCATCGACAGTGCTACAAAGATATGTTATTGAGAAATACTTTAAATGATATGATAAAGCTTTTGCCTTCCTAGTCAGTTTTGTGCTCGCCATCCCGAGTTCACTTATCTGCTTTCTGCACTACGTAATTTCGAAGCTTTTTGTAAGCAGACGGCATCTCTTCCTTTATCCATTCGTTTCTTGCTTGCTACGTAACTGCATATACTACACCGAATCCGGAGCCACATTAATCGAGTAACAGAAATCTTTGCGGAATGCAGGTCATTAACTTCACTTTCACGGGACTTTTCGATCTTGAATTCACAAATAGTGCTCACTGGCTCACTTGCTACTGAAAAATGAAGCTGTCAGTAGTTTAATGTTTTATGAAGCCCCAAAATTCACAAATAGTGCTCACAAAAGTGAAGCTCCAAGCAAAAATCGTGTTAATTTCAACTGGTTTTGATACCAAAATTTGGATAAATTTTATAACAGATGTTTCTTAAACCTAGTGTTCGGATTTTAATTCATCTTTTTTTTACCTCCATCCCACCCACCCTCATTCCACTCGCCTAGGCTTAATTCTTTCATTTCTACACCATCCCGATGATTTCGACGGATTCAAAATCATCAGAATGGGAACTGCACTGATTTTATTATTATCTTTTTTTCTAAGTAATAATCAAGTGGATTACCTTGTGTAAGTGTTAAATAGCATTTGTCGGTCAACGGTGTATGAACTAATTTCGCTGCATTGCCCTGAAACATGGAGTATTCATGTGCTGAAATTTTACAGTGATCAGTGGGAGCAACAAGGAAAACACTTGAAATTATCACGAAAAAAAAAGGACTAATATTTTTATGTCCAGTCGAAAAGCAGACTTGATATTCGTAGGTGTAATAGAACTGAGTGTCAACATGTCGTAAAATCACTCGTTCCCCGGATGCAAGATAGAACCGCAACTGCTTTTGCCATGCCCATGACAATTTCGTGCTAAATATGTATTATTTTAATCGCATATTCTAGCTTTATTTTCATAAAATCCCACATCGACATGGAGGTTTTCTCTCGCATTTTTTATGTTACAATCTGGATGTCACCTAAAAAAGTCTGTCCAGCTTCAAAAACAAAATCCAGCAAATAAAAATTTGAGGTGGGGCAAAATTACATGCTTGGTTCCAGTGCAAGACACCAAAAGTTGATCTTGTGTTTCACATCTCACGCCGACGAGGAAAACCTCTTTAAGTTATTCAAAAAACGGCCTGGATTCCGATTGACTTTAGTTCCAGTTATATGCGTCGCCTCTATCTCAGTTCAGAAGAGATTTGCAAAAACGACTGCAAAAGTAAATAGACTGCGTTACCAAGGTACATTCGCAATCAGCTCATCGATAACGCTTATATTGTGAATCACATCCAGTATCAGGGCTTTCAATTTCAATTGCAGCACAACGTCCGTCACTTCAGCGCTTGTATAATTTGCCAGTGCTTGTGTAAGCCGTTTTCGGTAGGATTGCAGGTCGGCTACATTGCTCAATGCACGCTCGCACTCGTTGCAGAAGCGAATTTGCTCCGCCAAGCAAAGCACCTGAAATATCAGTGTCTTTATAAGCCTTTTCATCATCGAGTCAACAAACTGGGATAACCTGAGACGGATATTTTCCAGGATCAAGAGTTGCTTCCCTGACGCACTTAACGACCAGTTTCCTGATTGTGTCCCTCATTTCGTCAGAGAGCTTTTGCAGCCATTCCTGAAATCGCTCTCCAAATATCAGTCTTGACAAAGTTACGTGATCACTTATTCTACCATTGAATCGCTATTTTTTGAGTAAATCTACTTCCACTTGAGGAACAATTCGGACAGGATTTGATAGCTGCACAACTTCTCCATGAGCCGAAACCATAGCTGTGATTGATAGGCCATTGTCACCGAACAACACTTTGTGGATACCCTGTAAGGAGGTACAAGTTACTTACGAATTCTTCCAACTTCATGTCGAAATTGAATGCTATTTGCAAAGCAAAAACTTGCCTGAAAAAGCTTTTTCAGGTGTGCTTGAATTACACGTGCATTCATCGATTGTCCCAGTATTTCTAGCAAATCGTCGTCTCCCAAAAAATAAAACCGAGGGAATGCGTTTCGTTTTTCCTGAAATGTCCACAATTTAAAGCACAGGACTAACCTGAAGAAAAAAACCCCATTAGCCATAAAATTCTTTTTGCATGATGCTTCGTATGCAGAGTATTCGAAACGCAGAACAACAATAGATATTGCAGAACTGATTTCTTTCAACAAATATGTAAAGTGGGAAGGATAAACCTCAAGGAATTCATTTAGAGCTCGTTGGCAACGATTAAGCTGGTCGATCATCTGTTCCAATGTCCTCTTCAAGGATGACCGGGAGCTCAAGCTAGCAATGCGAGTATCACGAACCACGTCTTCAAATCCCACTTTTTACAATTAGTCACAGCTGCACAGTGTTAAAAACGGCACTTAGTTTTACAGTCAAAACGCATACAGCCTTCAAAGTACGATAAAAGTCTTACGTGACACAAAGCGCAGCCGAGATGGGGAAAATTCGCGGCTGGGAGGTGCTGAGGTAAGATGAACTGAGTCACGAGGTACCAGATTTCAGACAGCAATTCAGTTGGGAAAAAGAAATGAAGTGGAATGGCGTAGGTTCACCAAGCGAGGAATACAACGATTGCGAAGCGCCTAATTAATAAACATCTAAAACTTTCAGCTTGACCACCAAGCCGTTTGCACAGCGGAAGAAACAGGCAGTGGAATGAACCTGAATAAAAAAAAATCTTCGCTAGATGCATTCTCTAGAAGGATTTTTCACCGTCGCTACCTATTGGCTGCTACTTAGAGTGGCTATTTGAAAAACAGTAATAGGAGATGAACCATTTAAGATGGCACGGAATTCGACATCGACCCGACTGAAGCGAGGTGCTTCGGATGGCAGCGATCCGCGCCCAAAAATTGGCTCCAGATAAACCCATTTACGCTGTATCTCATTCATCCAATGCAGATACTGTTCTGTATCAGTTAGCCTGAAAAATATCCCCTAAACACATAACCCAGCTGATCACCCGCTTTCAAGCAACTCAAAGATCGTTCTTTGTGGCTGTTAAAAATTTTATAAGACATTTGGCGCGAACAAAGCAGAGATACAATAAACAGGTTAGGACGTTTTTCAGGATAAAATAAATAGCGGCGTGTACTAGGACAACATTGCGATCATGCGTTTTACGCAGTTCCGTATAGCGGGCGCTTGCCTGTTGGGAATTTCCACTGTCTTATACTTGGGTGTGTGCAAAAATAGTCTGATTCCCAAGCTGCGAAATTTTTCAATAAAATTTTATGTATCGGTACGTGAAACGTACGCGTACATTACAGCTGAATATGAAAGTTTGGACAAGAAACATTCTTCCAAAACTTCGACCTCCTAGTTTTCTGACTTCCCAGTTCGTACAAAATTTTCATCTGGTCGTACTTGTGACCTCAGTATATTTGAGAGCTAAATTTGACTTTACATAGGCAGAAACCCCTGCATAGGCAGAAACATCTTACTGAGACATTCAGCTTCCTAGCTTTTGCTCTTATAATTTTTCTCGCCAAAACTTTCACGAGGTCGTACGCTATGCCCAAACTTACGGAGAGGCTGAATTTAAATTTCCGGAGTCGCACGTGGGCGGACTGCACCCCACTAAGATTTCAACCTCCTAGCTTTTGTAGTTCCCAAGTTGAAAGTGCAGGGTAAGATGCACTCAGACTCATACACACACACACACACACACACGTGCGCACCAAAAAGCACACGCATAGACAAAGGTGTTGCAACGTGCGTTTTGTGCTGCTGTTATAATGCATTCGGTCGTGTGGTGGCTTTGTACCTTTGCACCTTAAAAAGCGAAACGAAAACTTTTTGTTTTCTGAAGATGGAGTTTCAAGTAAACTAACCGTGTTTCCCAGACTGAAGTTTTATCGCGAAACTGCACATAATAGGGCGAAGTTTCCAGCGACTGTAATAATGCCTTGCTATCTTTGACCTAAGACAACACATAGTTATTCACTTCAGTTTCGCATAAATACCAATGCTAATGGATAAAAAGCATTTTTGTTTTAGAAGAATGGAAAAAAATGGTTCGTTGCACCATAATGATTTTTTGACTGATACAATGATAACAAGTCACCAAAATTTTCTTTCTAGGACAATAATGTTGAACCAGTTCCGCATCTAAAACAGCAGTTCTTCGTCCCAGTATGATTTCGAGTCATTTGGGTTGCAACTTGCAATGAGGTGAAGCTGCAAATTGTCACTGCTCAACTGCACTAGCGTGAACCGGATTTAGCACGGATGCGATGAAGTTCGGGAGCGAGATTAATGCCACTAAGACGAAATGAATTTAAAAAATTTTTGACATTGCTCGTTCTCAGTTTTAATGTTAGTCGGGTTCTGGAACTCGAGTTGCAGAACAAGGCAAAAAATCAAAGATTTTTCAGGCCTGGTACTTCGATAAACAGCTAGGATTCCTTGTGGCTTTGAAATTAATTTATCTGGAGTCACCAGATACCCACACACGTAGGCATGTCTTCGCCGTAAAGTCTTTTGACTTGTGCAGCAAAAAATCATGTAACAAGGAACACACCGAATTCAATGTATCTTTCCAATCTTTGATTATTTTCATTGTGGTTCCATTTGAATGCTTATAATCAGTTAGCGCGAATTCTGTCTGAAATTTCATTGCGATTATTTGGGAAACCAGGAACGGCATGGACTGCTGCATGCCGTACATACAGCCACTTGGAAATATGTAACACTGCAACTCCAGTAGTTGGACTAAGTATTTTGCAGGGCAAGACCTCCTCCTCTTCCTCTTCCCTTTTCCCCCTTCTGGTTGCTGTCCCACAAGAAAAAAAATTCCAAAAAATAACCCCATATATCCGTACAGCAGACGAACCTGTGCGGCCCAAAGCTCCAGTTCCTGAAGCGCTTCGCGAATGGTAACTTCTCCTTGCGCTCGCTCGTTTAAGCTTTTCAGTTCCTCCAAATTTTCACTAATTGCTTTGTGAACATTCAAAAGATCACCGAAATGTAGCCGTTCCAGTGTTGTACCTTTGGGCATACCCAACAGTCGAAAAAGTTCCAGCCAGTGCTCGCTACTCAGCGCCTCACCCCTGCAGTATTTCAGTGCAGTGCTCATCTCCTGAAAACTGCTTATTCTAATTTGTTTGTGTAAAACGCAACCAGACAAACGAAGCATGTCTTAGATATTACACTGTTACGATTATGTCGTATCATGGATCTTTACGGCAGGGCTACGCGAACAATTATTGCACAAATCAACTCGATGCGATCTTGCTGTGGGCCACACTAAACGATTTCTATACTATCCCGACCACTACGCAGACCCCGCCACTCCCCAAAAAATAACAAGACTGCCGGGCTATCAGCGTGAATATCCCATCATCTGATGTCACTAAAATGCTCCCACATGCCGAATGCAGCCATACCAGGCCCTTCGGTCTTGGGCTGTATAATCCCAGTTAGCACCCATTGCCCATTCTATGTATAGGAACCCAGGCTGCAACGCACCAGGCTTGTCGGTGTGATGATTTGTTTAAAGCTAAACCACTGCTGGGAAAAATGAGATACTATCAAAAGCAATGCCTTGAAATTGTCGATATCCTTTTGCAAACGTATAGTAATATGAGTGGGTGGCAAACTTTTCAGTTTATCACACCACTCGTGCAAGAATTCATCAAAGCGGTATGTTTTTGTCCTGAAGCACAAAAATAGTTTACAAATTTTGCAGTTTACATACTTTGCAAAAGTCTTCTTCGAAGCCTTAGCAAGCTACGTTGAAGGCAGTGGCTTTGCGAATTTGTCAAAGTTTTGTTCACCTAAAAAGAATCCAGTCCTCGGAAGCCATTTCCTGCAAGCCCGCATTAAACTCCTCATATATTAGCCAAATGCTCTCGTAATTTTCCAGATCTTTTGCCAGTTCTTCAATAAGCGGTAACTCCGTTTTTTGAACGTCAAACTGTTCGCATTCTGCTCTGCAATAAAATGAACAGGCATATCAGCGCTTTTTTTTTCTAGACGGTGATCTGTAGATGGTCGCAGTTTTTTCATTCCCTTGAACTGCGACTGAATGGTGAATTATTTCGGATTAGTTTTTTGTTTTTATATGAAGATATGACGTGAAGTCCAGAATATGTCGTACAGCTCCAGTGAACGCTTATAAGACTGATGAATTAATCTGTAAAGAGCTTACAGTAATTGTTGTTGCCGTTGCACCAGCTCGTTGAATTCATCTCTCTTTTCCTTTACGAACTGTATCGCTCCAAGCATAGCATTCCTGTCGTACTCGTTCAGGTCATTTTTTGGCTTGAACTGGTTCCAGCGAGCATATAATTTTTCAGCAGCGGCACTCAGTGATTTCATTTGTATTTCAACATTAGACTTCAGCGACTCCACCTGTGCAACAAATTCGACAGTAGTTTTCTGATACAGTACTCTGTTAAGGGACCGCTTATTTCAAATGCTTAAATTACGCTTGGAGGAATTACGAAGGAAAGCAACCGCATCTTTTTTCTGGAAATTTCGTTCTTCTGGAGGCCAGGAACGAGCTTTCTATGAATAACAGGACTTTACATTAGCACAGCAGGACAGTGATGAAACTCTGAAACTGTTTTAACAGTACTCATCTACTAGAACTGCTTGACAAGTAAGCAGAGGACAGCTTGGCTCATGACAAGTTAGAATAATTTGGCATCAGCTTGTCATGTAACAGACAACTTTGTCAGCAACTCACCCAACGATCTGCGCAGTAAAGATAACACCAAAAATCACCTATTAGAGCGTCAAAGAAGAGGCAGTGAAGCAGCGAAGGATAACCACTTTTCTCCACCTATCCTCCCTTCTCTCCCCCCTCCCCCTTCTCCCAGTCCGTCCCGCCTGCTCATTCTCCTCTTCCGATCTTCGTCCCATTCTTGGCGGCAAAAAATTCGATAAAATTTGACTGTGCAAATATACTTGTTCCTTGATCATTAGCTGATGGCTGTCCAGCATTAGTTCAAACTTCTCCCAGAGCTGCAGAAGTGCTGGTAACTGTTCAGCGCCACTGCCACCAACCGAGCGCAGCAGGACGTTCTTTTCTTCGATCAGATTAAGGGTTTGCTTCATCTGTAAAGAGAGTCGAATTATCCATATTTCACGTAGAACACTGTTCATTGTATAAAAAATATTTCGAATGCATCACCTCCTTATTGGTTTTTGCAAATTTGTTGTGCTTCTGATTAGCTTCAGCGACCTCATCGATTGACTGAGACTTGCGGCTTAGCACATCAATGGCTTCATTCAGAAATCGATTAATTTCCTTGAATAATGAAATAAATTCAAATTCGCGTTGCTTGAAAATTATGCGGAAAGTAGTAACTTAATGCTCCAATGGACTTACATGGATCTGATTACTGACGGAATATCGCAGTGTCCAAATCAGTGTATCAAAAAGGCGCTGTAGTATGCTATCAATGGTCAGCTTTACATCTGATGTCGTCACAACGATACATTCCAGTTTGATTTCGCTGTAATCCCATTTAAACATATGCGTTTCCCGGCAAAATTTTCGTGGCAAGTTTTGAGGGTGCAGCAGCCAGAGACGTTCAAGTTTGCTGCCTCTGGCAAAATTTTGCAACATCTGCCTGGTTGAGCGCTGTCTGATTTTTGACACAGTCTTTGTCAACGGGCTCAGACAGTACAGCCAACTGTGGTAAGCATTCTATTTTTTCGAAAAGCACATCGTAATTGCTTCGCTTCTAAAGATTATGTCAAAACTTCGTTTTCTCACTGAAATGATTTTCTAAGGCACTGAAGTTAAAGAATGCACAACTGTAAAATTAACTTTGTTGAATTCGTAAATAAGATGCCCCTCTCGATGGAGGGAACTGGAATGCGGATGAATGGAATTTAAGTTAATCAAATTTCGCCCCATGCCTAATTTGCATATGGTGAAATTTTCAAGCAGCAGCGGTTTTATCAAACTGAGGGCTGTGTCACCGGAAAGAGAATGAAGAATCAGGCAACCAAGTAAGCGTAGACTGTTACTGATACCGCGGCAATTTCTCTGCATCTCGGCCTTTTTCCTTGAGCAGCTTGATCTGATTCTCCCAGTCTGCTGCTCGGGTAAAATGCGTCGTTATCAAATCCTCCAGATCCACTTGGCCGAGTACAACCCAGTCCTCAAAAAAAGCAACTTTTGCAACAAAAACTGGATACCCTGGGGTGCAGCTCAGCGGCTGCTTGGCAGTCTCAGGAAACAGCGGCCAGCACACCTTAGCCCTGCACTCTTGTGGTAAATTTCTCCCCACATACAGAAGGAAGAAATTTTATTAACACCCACATTGTGGCTATAAACCAAATTACACGGGAGTTTGGAAAGTAATTTTAATTACTTGCTTCGTGTAGTTCGGTCAATTGAAATTTTAAAATTATTTTCTGCATGGCTCTTTTCGCCAAGTTATAATATCAGCTGAATTTTGGAAATGATGCAGTCGACAGAAGTACAAATTGGATGGCTTAAGATTTGTAACTCCGTGAATTCCCGCAGATACTCATAAAATACTTATTTAAAAGCAACTCACTTCGAACTCACTTCCAATATCTGCAAGCTTCTCAAAAAGCTGCTCCGCTTTTTCAAAAACGCTCGAAAATCGACTCGCATTGCGTTCGATCATTTTTGCAAAAAACGAGTTTGCCTGAACAGTAGTGCCGATGTCAGCCATCACTTCACATGCTTGCTATCATAGAGTACACCAAAGGTTAAAGTGGTGCAACACGATGGAGAAAATACAGTACGCATACTTGGTCAGTGTCCTGGAAACCTCTAAATTTCTGAGGGATGCTAATAAATTTCCTTAATTCTCGATAATATCTTGCACGTATTTCTTCCAGGGGCGGACGCAGCTGTAGCCTTTGGTCTCTGCAAAACGAGACCCAATTTTTCAAACGCAAATTTTCAAGCAACAATCAAAGTTTAGTCGATGAAAAAAATGTAAGTTGAAACTCTGAAACTTACTTGAACACAAGCTGCGTCTGAATTTGAGGTATTTGCGAATGTAGACTTTCGATACCCCACTGATACTGCAGTTGCAACGCCTGATGAAAAAAAAAAAAAACGAAATTTTTTTGAAAAATTTATCTCACAAATCACAGCAATTCAGTGATCAAACGAGAAAACTGTTCTGCTGCTACAAGGTATGCGAGCGAAACTCATCGTTCGACTTCCTCATCCTCAAGAAACACTGATGTTTCAAATTTAGCTAATTAGAGCAATTTTGCATTCACTAAAAATGATGTCAGTATAATGGAATGACAAGAACTGACCTCAGTTAGAAAGATTTGTGTGCTATCTCACTCTTATCTTCTCTCATACTGTTCTTCCATGCTGTAATCTATCGCGCCTTCGCCATTTAGGCTTCCAGGGTCAACCTTTTTTGCTACAATAGGCTTACTTCAGAAACAAGCTTGAAGAGGCCGGTGTGACGGTTCACAGGGCAATTCATGCGCTGTCACTAGAATTTAGTTTGAAGCCACTGTTGCGAAACCAGAATTTTGCCAGTTTGCTAATATACTCATTCAAAGTGATACGGTTGTGATGCCTATGCCTGGTAACTCACGCTATTTGCAGTCTCCCTCTCGAGTATCAAGACAGAGAACGACCGACAGCATTTAGTAGCGAGTTAACAGCAACAGAATAAGTAACCAGGCGGCAGTGGATGCTGGGCACTCGATAAACTTTGAAAAAAAGTTTATGCAAGGATGTGTGATAGCGGGGTCATGTCTGTCTTTATACGTGCGTGTCTATGGGTTTGTTCGTCTCTTTGCCGAATGCAATATCAGTACGAAAGTCAGAATTTTGGAGTCCCTCCTAAACAATAAGCAATAAGTAGCTTTACCCAATACACTGTACAATGATGCGGCAGTCTTGAGTCCCAGAGAAGTACGTGGGGATTTCGCACCAAAAGTAAAAATTCATAATTTAGAAAGTAAAACCTTATAAAGTTGCCGATCCCAATGCGATAACCATGGAAGCATATTGCTCCTGCTGCCAGCGTACTGTTCCTGCTCCGCTAATTTGCTTCTGATTTCGCCAATGATATCTTTCCATTTATTTGCTTCTTTTAGTAAATCTAAGTTCATCAGCTGCTTCATTTTTTCGCATATTTCACGGTGTGCCTTTCGCAGTCGCCTAAAACGATCTGCTGCTTGATAAGAACTAAACTGCAATAGCTGAGGAAGAAAAACGAGATGCTGGGTGAAAGATGGAGAGAGACGAAAATCTAGCTTTGAAATCCCACTGTGAGCTCAAACTCAAGCTCGAGATAACTTCATACAGTGAGAATGACAAAGGCAGTATGCAAAATTTTGTGGATTTGTCGAGCCAAACAATGAAAGATGAATGCAAGGTATCAACTTCTAAATGTTATTATTACCAAACCTGTGAATTTATACACTGAAGCTAAACCTGAAAAAAAAAATCGATGTAATGCATGTACTGAGTGTACTGAAGTGCATGTACTGACATACAACCCAGTGCATGTACTGACATACCCAAGTACTCTTACGAAAGAACTTGCATACAAAACAACTTGCATACGAAAGAACAAAGGAAGGTACTGCCAGAAACCCCTAATGTGTACTTCTGTTTATGTGGAGGAAAGTTCAGCAGCTTGTCTAAATTGTCAGCTAATCAAGCTTCACGAAAGCCTTACGAGCACTCGGATTTTTGAAAATATCGTCAAAAAAAAGCTCAAACCTATTATGCACGGTTAATCGTTCAGCAGCTGCCTGCAGCTTCTTGATGAATTCTTTCAGATTTTCTGGATCATCCCAGCTGGCCATGTTTGTCGTTAATTCGCCTCGCTTCTCAGATATCACTAGCTTTTCAAACGCAAGAGCCTCGTCGAGCATCATCGCCTGCTGACACGGTAGCATTTGTTGATCAACCGAATTATAGAAATGCGCTACCTTGAAATATGTATCATTTTTATGGATCGAACAGCGCCGAATTGCTATTCCAACCTCTTCGAAGTCGTAAAAATTAACTTCCATTTGCACTATGAATCTGAGTTAGGCGGGAAATTGTGAATCTCAAAGAAATGCAGTTAGGCGGGAAACTGTGATCGAGTGATCTGATCGATCTGATCTGCTGATCGAGTTGATCTAGGCAAACTGATCGAGTGATCTGAGAAAAATCAAAACTGCATGACTTAAGCACTGTTCAAGATTGCGACTATAATTCAAACCAACGTTGATCCGACTACGCTTGTTGAAACTGACGTAGCGAATTTTCAAAATTAGTTAACCTGTTTCAGTATGATAGCATATTTGTAAAATTGTTCTCCAGTACTAGCACATTCGACAATTTTTCGTGGCACGGAAAATCCGAAGCTCAAAAGTTGCCGAACTTCCCGAAGAAGTCGAACCAAACGGTCGCTGTAGTTGACAATTAAATTGCCGTGCTTCTGCTCAATGCTCATTAATTTACCATTCGTTTGTAGTGCAATTATACTGCCGCTGCTGGTGGTGGTGCTCACTGTCTGAATCATATCCTGGCACCTGAAGTTCATTTTCAAAGATTTCGCAATGGGTGCAATATATTAAGCTTAGCAGTCAACGATTTACAACCACGAACTTCTCGGAATCCTTTAAATTTCACGTACAAGCTACTCATTCACCAAGAACAACACCATCCTGGAAAAGACTGAATGTCCAGTGGTCTGCACTAAAAACAAGCGAACAGCAGCATCGCCTCAGCTACCACATTTAAAGTGAATATCCGAAGCTCAAGGTAAGTTGAAGATTGCCCGTCTTTGTCGATTGTTCGTTGTTAAAACATGCATGCCCTTCTCCGAAGCCTGGCTTCATCCTTTTTTTCTGAATTAGCTTTTCCACATTTCGTTCCTCTCACATTTCCTTTTAAATTTGCGTCGGAAGCGATGTGCTGACGAGATCCAGTTGCGGTGCTAAGACTTTCACGACTTGATGGGCCGAATCACCGCATCTCTTTGTTCTGCTTTAGCAGCCCTCTTCCTTTGCCCTTTCTGCGTAAAGTGCAGCAAAAAAAACAAGTACGAAAAAAAAAACTCATAAAAAGAAAAAAGTTCTGCTGTAGCTTCAAGTTGCCACCGGACGATTTTGCGCGGGGTGGGAGCGGAGAAGCGGCAGCAGCTCCAACTCCCAGCGACTCACAACCTTTCCCACCTTTACTGCCTCACGAAGCAGTTCCCACAGTCGAGCAGGCGAAGAAATTTTAAAATCTTCCGCTACTTCTTTCCAGTCTTTCGCCCCTCGGCCTTCGTCCTCAACATCTGACCTGCCGTCTAGCTCTCAGGACACTTCTCATGTCGACCTGGTTTCTATCTCATTTCTCTAGGCCGCACTCTCACGGCTCAAAACACATTTCTATTTTGGACATAAGACCCGGCGTCATCTTGCCCCGCGCGGCCAGACACGTTTCCACCTCTCTAATTCTTGCTTTGAGGTACTCCAAACTACCCCTCTCGGGTCATTCCGTTGCTTCGGCTAGCTTATCTCAAGAAACTGCGAGCTATATCTCACGCCCAGGAGATGTTGTGCGTCTTCCCCACTTCGATTCGTCCTCTTCTAGGGTCTGGGAAAGTCTTTTCTCTTCTCCACTACACTCGCTGCAGGCCGACATAGTTCTCTCAAGCGTTACCAACGACGTTTTGCAGCACTTGGCCCTCAACGCGTTGTAATACTTCTAGGCGCACTTCTTACCTCTTCTACACTCCTTAGCTCAGTTGCTCCTCTACGCGCTCAGAATACGGTATCTGTTCACTATGTCGGATCAGTTCAGCCCCCATGTAACGCACGCAGGACTTCCGGCCGTCCTCTGCGCAATACATTCGATTTCGTCATGACGTCCCATCGTTTTTCGATTTTTTAAGATCTAAGTTTTCGGAAAATTTTCGAAATTCACTAGATAAATTGTGCCTAGTGTAGTGAGTGTGCATTCTACTTACATTAAAATCTAGAAAATATAATGTACCAATTGCCGAATAGATCCGACTCCAACGAACGCATTTCGTCGATTTCATTTTGAATTTTTCTCGCCACTTCTGGATAGGCCGTTAAATCGCCCAGTAATTCATTGCAGACTATCAAGATATTCTCCGCCTGCAAGCTTGTTGAATTAAATTTAAAAAAAAGTATGTAACTGAATAAAATGGAATAGGATGGTCAGGCTGGCAGAAGACGTGCTGACTGGCCTAAAAGCTCAGCAACACACTCGCAGCTGCTTTTGTGGACCCGAACAATGTTATGCTTAAGCGTCAGTGATCCAGAAAGATATGCCCAACAAAAGACCAGCCGAGAATGCGTGTCGTGCTAAACAAAGTAATAGCACAACCGGCTTGAGATACCAGGATTCCTTTGAATCTTGACCGTTGTAATTAAGCACCTTCACCTGCCACTCCTGAAACTGCTTCCCAGAGTTTAATTACTCACTCTGATACAGGATCAAACACGCTTACCAGCCATCGATGACGGAAATGCACTTAGAATCGCGCCGCAGTTGCATTGTCGTGAGGTTCAAGTCCAATCTGCTGGCACCGTTCGAATCGCTGAGACGAAAACAACTGGCCCCACTGTTTATCTTCCTCGCTCTTTTATGGTACCCACCAGAGGAGCCCGCCGTTCGTCCCTTTTCACGGCTGCGTGTCTTGTATTACTTTGTCTATAGGCTCCTCTGTGGACAATAACCATGTCAGACGTCTAGCAGAGATTTTGTCTCACAAACAGCCTAAGGTGTTTACGAAGAACAGGGCCATTACAAAATCATTAAAAAATACTTTAGTAATTTAAAAAATAAAAAAATTAGCAATAAGCACCACTAATTTTACTAAAAATTAGAAAAACAAGGCAGTTGAAATGTCGCACATTCGAAGAATAAGTGCCATACTTTATTAATCTTTCGCCGAACCCAGATAAGCTTAGCAGCAATTTCAGTGAGGTACTGGCCCACTGGCACACCATTAGTTGCTAGCCGCTCATTTACTTCGTGCCTTTCTGCAGCGACAACATTTTCCAGACGGCTCAACAGCGAATCCCTTAAACACTGATGCATAATGCTAGGAATGAGCAGTCTGTTATCGCATACAAGTATTGCTGCAAGCTGACAAGCTGGTGTAAAGCAGGACTTGCCTGAGGTCGTTTATCAGAACGGCTGAACGTAAGAAGGAAACGGAATGAGAGGGAGGATTTTTTGCAAACGGAGACACCTGGAACCTTCAATGTTCCCTTTTGCTTTTCTTTCAGCACAACAGTATGGCGAGTATACTACTTCTGGAAAACAGAAAAGCAACGCGCAGGTTTCCCAACTGTATGGCAGCTATTTGTTACATCCGCCTTCGCCTGAACAACTAACACTAAGAAAACATAATAAACAAATCCCGAAGGATGTACTTGCATGACCTGAGGAAGAATGCACAGGTGCTTCCTGAGGATAACACGCGTGAAGTCATGCCTCTTCCCCCGTTACCTCATGTATATATCGAATGCGCACACCTTTCTAGAGTGAGTTTCTCCTTGATGCTCGGACGATTGAGAAAATGTTTGAATTTGATGACATTTCTGACTGCCTGTAAATGTGCAAACAATCGGCAGATTCCAGAAATCACAAGATTCGGGGATATAATGAAGAGCTGAGCTGAGTGTTTTTATATCAGAAGCTGATAAGAATAGTAAAGGAAGTGATTCCAACAAAAGCACTGTATTAAGTGCTTTAGTAGTAACAGTTCTCGCAAGACAGGAAACGTCGAGAGAGGAAGATTAATCCATACGAGCAGCGCGTACATGTGTAAGGCGCATATGTTAAATGAGATTACATTTAATCACGGTACAGAGATGCCCGAAAATCTCTCCAGGTGTTTAAATTCAGCCATTGGTGAAGCTGGGAAGCTGAAATTTTAGGACAATTTTCCTGCCAATGTTTGACTGTTTCAATTCAACTCAGCATTCTTTTACAAGCCTAACTCATGCATAAAGACATGTGAAAGTTTTGGCTAGGAGCTTTCTAGTTCCAGAAGGTAGGATTTTAAGAGAATGTCTCCTATCTAACTGCGGCTCTGGAATTTTAAAATGGAAGCTTACAGCATCTCCGTCGAGCGAAGTGAACTGCAATCGCTTTCGCAAAACGGGTAATGCTTGCTCTACAGCTGCTTCAATGGATCGTTCTGCTTCCTGAATTTATAAAAACAGTACTGCGAAATTTTGTACATCAAGATGAACAAGGACTGATTTGGATTGTCATCCCCGACTGGCAGATGCGATTGCCTGATCAATCCATGTCCTAACTCATTCTCGTGTACGAAATCAAATCAGTTTGCTAGCGATTGCTTTTGACTCGCTCTCTTTCCACATCCTGTTCGGGATCACACAATATTTGGTGATTATTACTGTTTTCGTTTTGTCATTATTTTTTTTTTCTCTTTCACTCTACTTCACTATCATTGCTTGCGGAGGGATTGATAAGAAATGCTGTGACGAAGCGTTTTTGAGACCAGGACAAATGCAACAAATTACCATCAGTTTAACTCTCCAGTGCTGCTGCATCGAAGCACTGTAGGCCAATAGAGGGCGTACAGCAAATATGGCTCGAAGTGCTGCATCCATTTCTTTCCAGGCACTGCTCTTATCACCAAGCAACTCGCTCACTTGGCTGCTCAACATTTGCAGTGATAAAATCTAAAAAAAAAATCATAAAAAATCGTAACGACGACTCTTTCATCCACTAACAAGCACAGTAAAAGCAGATTTTTCTGAGGCAGTAAAGACCGATCATTTAAAGCTTCAACGACAACACTGTAGCATTTGAAGCTTCAAGAAGTCAAAAGTATGGAAGGCGCGGGCATCTACAAGTAGCCCGAGTGGTAGCAAGTGCCAAAAGCAAATCTAGTTATCAGATTTTAAACTGTACTTCTGTTTCGGAATGAATTTTTGTTTTGTTTGTTTTGTCCAATTTGTCCAAAAATTTGTCCAATTCGCAAGCAGACTCCCGGAACATGATCTGCCCTCGACAAAAGCATGCTATAAAAGTGGCCTCATGAAGCACGGACCTCGTTAATTTGTTTCTGCAAAATTTCCATGGCTGCCATTGCTGGTTTATCACCTTTCCATGGCGCATCGACGTTCTGCTTCCACTGCTCGACCAGACTTTCGACGACGAACTTCCACTGCTCACAGACGGAGTTCGCGGCTTGTAACAGATCAGTAGTTGGTACTCCTGCTTGCCATCGCTCATTGCTGTTTACTTTACTTATTATGCAGTTTGCAATCTCCAGACCTCAAAAAAACTCGCATCATCTGTTCATCTGGTTCTGTTTCAGTTCTCAAATTCATCCTCAAAAAGCAATTCTCAAACTCGGAATTTCATTTATTATGAGGAAGGAAGGTGGATAAACTTGCTAATGGATCAACTAGTGTTTTCATTAGCGGCAGCTGTCCGACGCTAGTGCCTAATTTATCAAACACTTCGTATTACTTTATTGTGAGGAAAAAAAAAACTGATAACGTTTTTTTACCTCAGTGAACCGCTTTCAGGACTTATGGGTGTGCTTCTCGACTTGCAGTATTAAACGGCACTAGCGCGGCATTGCTGCACTTCTCACAATATAAAATGATCTATTCAGCGAAAAAATGAATTATGACGAAGTTATGCAGTTCAAGCTCACAGCTACAGAAATTCGTACTTTGAAAGAAAGGTCACACGCCTAAAACAATCTGTTTTATGTTCTGACTGGCTCAAGCCACTGCTATGAAAGAAGAATGGTAAAAGCTACGGGCTGGAAATGTTGGCGGGCTAATTCGCTTAGCAAAAGTTTCTGCTCTCGCTGGCACACCTGTGCTGTTGATAAGTTGTTGCATGCGATTCTGCGGGAATGGCGGTTCGCTGAGCCAGAGCTGATCCAAGCAGTCTTCGGCACTTTCAATGAAATCACTTATTTGCTCGATGCTGTACTCAGCTAGCTGTTCCAGCTTAACACTCAAATTCCGCAATGCATGAGAGTACTGTAATGCAGCGCTGTCTTTTCGTGAATCCCAATAACTGATTCCGTCACGCAAAGATCTGACACCTGTAAATACTGACGTTTCAGACTGGTCGATGACCTCATTTGGAAAACCAGTTGCACGAAACTCCTCCACTAGACTAAACAGTTACCGTATTAAAAACAGGGCTACCGTATTAAACACAGGGCTTTTTAAAAGCAATTGCTAAACCTCGGCTTGGCTCGGCCGGTACTGCGAGAGTGCTCTAGCTCCTCCGCCAATGCTATTTCGCTGCTTCACTTGCTGGCTCCGCGAGGCACTTTGCCAATAAGGGCTGGGTAGCGTTACCCAGCGCTCGCAGCGAAATTCCCTTGTGGGGGAGTGGTAAGTGGAAGAGTTAGGGATGACTGGAGAATGCTCAGTGATAGTTTGACGAGTGGCGACGGTGGTTGGGAAGTGGCGGGCGGTAGGTACCGACGCCACCCTAGAGGCAGGATTTAGGAGTAACACGGGTGCTTACTGATTAGGAGTTTGAAGCAACAACTGGAGACAGCAGTAAAGAGGAAGAGACAACACGGCAGTACAAAGAAAAGCGCATTAAAGAAGACTTGAAATTTCGAGAAAAAAATTTTTTTTTGATTTTGCTTTTGTTCGTGCACACACTCTTCTTTAATTTATTTCCTTCGTAGTGCTTTGTTTTCTCTTTCCCTCTACTGCTGTCCCTATTTGTTGCCTCGAGCTCCTGGCTTATATTCTTGCTCCCCTTCTCTACCCTGCTCCCAAACTCCGCCTGCAAAACAGCATTTGAGCTCCTCTCCATCTCCATTATAAGAGCATTCTGGAAACAAGCAGTATTTCAGCCCTCTCCCAACCTCAGGTATTCGTAGAAAAAAAAAACTGTAGCACATTTCCTCCTTCTTTTTGTTCACCAGCCCCTCCCCTTTCCTCCGCACATACATAAACTAGCCAGCCGACAAAGCATCTGCGCCATGTAGCCTTTAAATCCAGTATCTTAGCCACCCTTCCCTCCTCACTTGCACCATTCAAACTGCCGCTACTGGCCGTAGGGCAGCCCTAATCATCATGCTGAGGAAAATTTTTTGCAAACCACGTATGACGCCAGCCGAACCGAGCCAAACCAAGGTTTAGTAACTGCTCTTTCAAATATTCACATTAACAACAGTGTACAATTTTTAACTTTCAGAATTCTAAAACTGAATTATGTGGGCAGAAATAAACAACAGTATTAGATGCATTCATGAGGTCGCCGTAATGCATTTTTTGGATGAATTACACATATAAATATGAAAATATAAGTTACCTTCAGGAGCTGTTTCATCTTTTGGCTTGATACTTCTTTCGAGATCACTCAGAATACTATACAGATGGCCGCTGTCCGAAGATTCCAGCTCATTTTCAACTGCCTTTTTGAAAACCTGGAAAAGCACATCTCATAATCGCCACCATTTCCAGCATTTTTATGACACCACACTCGCTTCATATTTAAGACTTTAGCGAAAACCCTGGCTTTTGCACTGCTTAGAAAAACTAGACGAAAGAAATTACTCCTTTTTTGAAGGATGACTTTGCTGTTAAAGAAGAAAAATAGGAGATGTACACTGAAGATGTACTTAGAGAGGACAAATAGGAGATGAACACTGACGATGTACTTAGAGAGGACAAATAGGAGATGTACACTGACTGACTCTCAAGTCTTTTCCCTCCTTTTGCTCCCCTTCCCGCCTTCCCATCCTAGGGAGATCATCAGCATTCAAACCCTTCCAGATCTTTATGTTCCCTCCTTTAAATATGTTCTGCATAAAAAAATAAACCCATTATGAGAGATAGATTTCGGCACTGAATTAACAGGAAAAGAAATGACTTAACAAGCAGCACTGTTTTAGCCAACGAGCACTCTATTTTGGGAATGATTTCCCCTACCGAATCCTAAATGGGTGTCTGGACATTCTGATGCAGCAACGCAACAGAATATAGCAACCCAGGCTGGAACGCACCGGGCGGGCCCGTGCGATCATGCGTTTTTGCACAGGACTCGAAGTACTCAGGTCATTAACTGCATGAATTACTCAGGTTGAAGTACTCAGGTTGCTTTACACCTACCTTTTGCGATCACTTGCATAAATCACCATAAATTTTGCATAAAGTAGA